TGTGTGTGTGTGTGTGTGTATGTGTCTCACTGTCTCTCACTCTTCCTACCCCCCATGACTCTCCAGCTTTATGGGACTGAAGGGCTGGTAAGCTGAGCCTCTGTTGGACACCACTGTCCTCTGATTCCAGTCTCCATGAGGCACACTGGCCCCAGCACAGACCACACCAGTATGCTGTGGTGTGGTTCACACTCTCCCCTCTCGCCGCCTCTGGGCAGCAGGGAGGCCCAGGCCACTGAGTGGCACTGCCATGAATGTGCCAGCTTTTTCTCTGGGTGTGCTTAGGGGCTGCCAAGAGCAACACCTGGAATTCCAAACCAATGAGCCTCAGGTTGGCAGGGAATTCCTTAAGGGTTGAACTTCATGGGTGGACATGCCCATGCTGGGGCACCTCTTGGCAGCAAGGAGAGAGACATTCTTGTCAGATGAGGTTGGAGACAAATGAGCATGCACCATGCTCTGCTGGTTTGTAGAGAATCACAGGTAGGCCTCTGTGAAGAAAGCAAAGTTTCTCTGATCCAGAAAGCAATGTCAGACACACCAAAGGGAGTACCAAATTAACAAGCAGTGTGAACTTCTAAAAATCCTGCTGGATTGTTTAGAAGGAAAAAATGGAACTCCTGGGGCATTTTCCATGGCTGCAAGGAACACTGGCAATAGGGAATATTTTTGCTGTCACAGAAGCAGTCCCAGCTCCTGGAGCCTAGAAAACTCAGAAGTAGGAGAGGCAGGGATTGAGGAAGGACCACAGGATGCAGCCAGATGATGGGATTCATAGACTTCACCAAGAGCAGCTTCAGTTCAGACTTCACTGGTGTGGTTGAGGCAGGAAAATAGGGTCTGGAGGCAGAGAATCTAAGGCCATTTCATGGCAGCTTCCTAGAACTAAATTGCAAGGAAAATCCTCACTTTCCATGCCTAAGTAACAAAAGGTCCAGAGGCCACTCCCTTCGTAAACCCCGCAAAATTGTTTTGCTTTCTGCCACCAATCACACTGTTGTCCCTTTTCTGCAGGGCAGATAGGAAATTGAAAGTACCTATAAATTGGTTGATTTTTGCAACCAATCAGATGTTTGCATAGAAGTGTAACTTTATGACTTTACTTCAGCCTCTGATTGGTTGTTGTCTGTGGGCCAAGTCTTCCTTTGCATAGAAGAGCAACTTTGTAACTTCACTTCAGTCTCTGATTAGTTGCTATCTGCAACCAATCAGATGTTTGCATAGGAGTGTGACCTTTGTAACATCACTTCAGCCTCTGGTTGGTTGCTTTCCACAACCAATCAGACTGCTTGCGGGCCACCACTTCATTTACATGAGGTGAGCACGAAGTGGTCAATGGGAAATCTCCAGGGGGGTATTTGGACCGGAGAAGATTCTGTATTGGGGACCCTTGAGCACTGCTGGGGCCTGCTCCCACACTGTGCAGTGTACTTTCATTTTCAATACATCCCTGCTTCTGTTCTATTGTTGCTTCATTCTTTTCTTGCTTTGCTGTGTGTTTGTCCAATACTTTGTTCAAAACACCAAGAGCCTGGACAACTTGCAGTCAAGACCCTCTACCAGGGTCTCAGTGGCATAACATGGTAGGGGTGATTCTTCAACCTGGGACCCTCATGTGAGACCCAGAGGTCTATCCCTGAGATGAGTAGTTGGAATTCTGGACTAGAAAGTTTCAGGGCAGGAGGCAGCTGCAGCAGCAGTGCAACTGGGGCATGAGGATAGAGAATCTGACCAGCCTCCAAGGGATGTAGAAGTGACAAGTGAACCAGGCAGCTCCATGTTGGCTGCCTCCACAAGCATGGAACTAAGGCTGTGGGATCAGACCTGCTTTCAGAAAGGAGGAGGAATGTCTTCCCAGCTGTGGTCAGGCTGGGGTCTCCTTGTGAGCCTCAGGGTGCCAGTGAGGCAGGGCTGGAGACCACCAGGAGCAGAGGGAGTCTGGAGGCTGGGGCTGGAGCCAGGAAAGGCTTGAATGAACAATGCAGCCTTGAACCAAGTCTCCACTCCTAATATTTCTGCAAACCTCCATGTGTCTATGACTTTTACCATGGTGAGCTGGAATGTCCCCCAGACTGTCCTAGATTTTAGGACTGCCAGGTGATGTGTGTGTGGTGATGAAAGGGGAGTACCTGGTGGCTCCTCCAGATGGCCTCCACCAGCACCTGCTGGGCAGCAGCTTCTGCTTCTTTGGGTTTGCGAATAGGTGCTTTTATGAAGAGGAGGGTCCCTGGCAGGTTTCTCAGTATTGCTGAACAGAATAAAGGAAGGGCAGGGTTGGAAAGTGCGGCTTCATGAAGATGTAGTGGCTATGAGACAGGAGGTATAGTTCTAGCAAAGGCCAATGCCCATCTGCCAACCATTGTCTGGAGGAGATGTTCAGGGAAGGAGTGGAGTCTGCCTTTCCACAGGTGCTCCTCCTGGAAACATGGGTGGGTGGCAGCTGACCAGAACACTGGGGGGCTTTCCCAGGACACCTGTGCCTAGAAAATGCTGAGAAGACCTTGTTTTGAGGATGAGGTGGGTCTTCTTAGACTGTCAGTCATAACAGAGCTGCTCTAGGGGAAATCCAAAATAAAGGCTAATGAGCTCTCCCCAGGGCCAAGCAAGTCTCTGGAGCTGGTAGGACAGCCCTGTGCATTTCTCCTAACTGGTGCACATGTTTCTCATGGGTACAAATGCCATGCTCAGGGAACAGGATGGCATCCTAAAGGGCCCCAGCCCACTAACACAGGAGGACCGCCTGGTCTGGCCAGGTCATGAAATTGCCCTGGGAACCAGGTATTGCTGGATATCCTGTGTCTCACCTTGAGATGAGGCTGTCAGGGGCAAGTGGGCTGTAAAACTGCCAGGTGGAACAGTTTTTTGGGGAGCAGATGGCCTCTAGGGTCTTCTGGTCCAATGTCTTTCTGGACAACATACTGACACAGTTGTGCTGGTTTCCAAAACAATGACGTTAAAGTCTAAAACTCATTCATCTCATCTGCTACGGATCTGTCTTCTTGGTGTAGAAGGGAACAAAGTGTAAGTTCCCTGATGTAGATCCATTTCTGCAGCTACCAGCCAGTTGAGAATGGCCAGTGGACTCAGTCTAGCAGGTGACACCCTCCTTTCCAGAGAGAATTGGAGACCCCTTTACATTATGCATACATACCATCTATGGCCTATGGCACCCTCCTCCATGAATAATTCTTGAGGGTGTTCAGCCCATTGAATGTGGAGCCATGGAAGTGAGGGGACATTTATCCCAGAGGGCACATTTTTCCCAGAGCTTGGATTCCAGGCTCAGCTGTGATGACAATAATGGTATTCTTGACCTATGCTTGTAAGAATCCAGAATTGGAAATTTGATCTTTCCCTACGGGGCGGGGCAGG